TACTTCGCATTAGTTTATTTTGTCCGAATAATTGAAGCTTATGCTATAAATAAAAGCTTTAGAAATGTGTGGTTGATATAAACGTTATATGTACAAGGAAATAAGTGAATAAGTCGCCCAAAGATTGTAGTCGAAGTATACAAGTTTTCTTCGTTTAATTTACCTTAAGCGGCGGCCGCTTGACAGCAAGTCGTCATAAAAAAAGATACACCTAGAGTTCTATATAAGTCGCATAAAAGAAATTGTAAATAAAGCTCGTCGAAGTAACTACCTATATTAATATTATTTATTAGCAAATATAAATATTATCTTATTTAAAGCTTCTTTTATATTTGCGGTATTACCGATTCTAGGAACATTTATCAAATACTGATAAGATAACTATAACTTGGGGACAATCTAATATTCATTTTCAACTGGTTAATCCTCAAAATATTTATGGTGCCTATGTTATATTGCGCTTTATTTATAACAAAAAAAATTCAAGTTTATCATCGGTTTTCACAAAGCTTTAATACCCTTCACAAGTGAATTTCGATAGCAACTATGTGTAAAAACGTAACTGGCCACAGGAAAAGCTTCTGATTTCTTTCTGTCACAACAGTTAAGTCGAATTAAGGTTAGTTAATAAGGAAAGAAAGATTTTTTTTATAAAGATTGTGATTCTAAACGATTATTGAGAATGACTGTTACATGCTGCTGTGATCTGATATAGGAGGTTCCAGCAAACGAGTACATACGACGACTAAATCAAGTTACCTCGTCACGGTAATCCTTTTATATATACATATATATATATACTTTCTGGGGTCTCTAACGTTTCATTTAATATTTCGGAATTTGAAAGCCTGCTGCTGAAATCTGATAACGCACAACTTTGTTGTAAAGTTTGACATTTTTGACATTACATATACTCAGAACGTTTTGCTTTACTAGCACTATTTGTATTGTACAGTAACTGAATTCAATTTTTGGCGACGAAGCTCCCTCCTCCTGTTTATCGAAGTAAAATTTCATGAAGTGTAGATTGGCGAGAGAAATAAAAAAAAATACGATAACGATGCTTTGAAAAACTTCGTGACAGGTGTTGAATGGTGGATCTACACATGTGAGTCCAAAAGTAAACAGTATAATCGATCTTTTGCACGAAGCACTTCCAGCAGCAAATGGCTGCGTGTTTATTGAAAAACTGGGTATTCGCCATATCACTAGAACAACGGAGGACAGTAAACTTGGAGTGATGCACAACCAGTTGTTAGCAGTTGTCTTTAAAGAAATCAGGAAAACCAATTGCTAAAGACGCGTCTTCAGCACAATAACGTGAGCTCTGAGAAATCGACTGAGGCAAATCCATTTTTGAACACTCAAAACATAGATTTGATGAGCCATTCACCGAATGACTTCCTTTTATTTCCGTACGAAAAAATATACTCAGAAGACAACATTTCTGACATCTGATGCGTTCAGAATCTATGTTTTAGAGATGTCTCAATCGGAGCAGCAAACGTGCTTCCACAAAGCACGGTTGGTTCAAAAGCATGCAAATATATATACATTTCGATATTAAGAGTATTTTGAAAAACAATAAAGATTTTTACTATGGTTAATATGTGTTTTTTTGCTCTCGAATTCCGAAATATAAAAAACAGCACTCATATACCTTGCTCATGGTGAAAAAATAAACACAACCCATTTAAACTAATGAAATAAGCGGTCAGTAATATTCTATATAATTACTATTAATGATAATCTGAGCTTAATTAAAGTGTCATTCTTACATATACATACGTACTCCTGAATGAAAACTCATATCAAAAATTAACGTTATTTACTTTGTCAGCATTACTGTTAATGTCAACTGTACTGCTAAAATAATAAGGTAATTAAAAGCTACTGATTAAAAACACAAGCTAGTTTGTTGACTTTTGAATGAAGCTCTCCACTATCGCATAAAATKAATCATCCAGTATTTACAGCGCTTATTAGTCTTGTTTAGAAACATATACATACATATGTAACCAGTCTAGTCTCCAACGTAAGCCAAAAATCAAATCAACCGCAAACACGTGTTTACATTTAACCGGATTTTACCAGAGTTTTAGTTCAAATAATCGAATATCCGCAAATAATACTATTTTATGTGCAAATTTGCACTTATATTTTAAATGACTGAGCTGATATTGTGCAAAAGAGTGGAAAAGAAACAGTAAAAAATGTTAATATGTTAGCATAGCCGTTGCCTCAATGCAAAAAATTAGATTGTTTAAAAATAAGTGTGTTTAAACATTTATTGCATATGGAAATTGCCAAGTATTTAGCACTTTAAAATGTGATAATGGAAGGCAGTGACGTCTCATGATAGAAAGCTGCCATCTGTATTATTATTAAATACCTACTTCTAATGTTCGGTTAGGTTATACTGGGTGGATAATTGTCACGCTATGCGTAAACCTTTTGGTCCCTTCAAATGTGAGAAGATTTAGTTTAATACGAACTGAAGTATTTGAAATACTCGATTATAAGGGTTTTTATGAAGTTTCATGTCTATTTTTGATATTTCATTCAGTCCTTTGAACTGATATCTAAGACGAGTTGTTGATAAGATGGGGTACATGATCTTAGCGCTCTTGCATGCCCTTGAGGCATTCCATCCTACCCGTTTATTGCAACTAGTTTATTTCCTGTAATGATTCTGTAATCAGATGGATATCCGTAATACCTTTGAAGCCTGAAACACCGTATATCTTCATCCTTTTCTATACTAACTCCAAAGTCTGCGGTCTCAAAAATACCGCAGTATTACGGAAGCTTGAAGTCTCGAATAACATCTAGCTCCACGTAATAGTTTCCGACGCCCACTCCATCAGGCACTTTTATCCGTTGGTTTAGATGTTATAAGTAAAACTTCCGTCGACGTGTCGCGGGCTTCTGCACCATCCACCCTTTTTTAATGTCACTCCTCGCTCTCAGATAAAGCGTGAGGGTGTGTGGTTTATTTTATCCACAAATCCCCTGATTTTCGTGGTCCAAATCTGGCGGCTGATTTCACTGCAAAAACTCTCCATTACAATTTTGTTGATTAATCTTTCTAATGCAGCTATTGCAGTGGTTCTTAGCGCTCTCGTTCTGCAGATAACAGCGACCGTTGCATTCGCTTAAAAGAGTTCCAGTAAGAGATTTTGTTGGCCAACCAAGATGTTTCACAACATCTGATTCTTAGGCGCCTATTTCTTCAGGCAATATAATTCACGTCAGCCATAAAAATTATCGATATTAAAGTGTTCTGAAAATATACACTAGAGACTAAATATGACCCAGACTGGTGGGACTTCTGTTCGCGTACAATATTTTTCTATGTTCATGTGAAGTTTGATCTCCGATTATCAATTCGTGTGTGTTTTATCGCGGTCTATTTATGACGCTTAAAGTTTGATCTTTAAGGTTGTCGGCTTTACGTTTACCTTCCATTAGAAACAAACTCTGAATATATACCGAATTAAAAAATGTATATTTTAAAAATGTTCAAATAATAATCGTGGACAATTTCATACCCCGTACCGAATTGCTGGTTTGAATTATACCGTGAATTATACCGTACTTTCTTTCATATTACCGCTACAGCACTATTCTACTTTACCCAGATACAACTTCGATAGGCATAATTGAGTGCTAATGGATTATTTTCTGTCTGCAAAAATATCTTTATAGTGCGAATTAAAAAATTAATGCATAATAAATTATCCATGTCTATTTATTTTTCATATTAGGAGGTTATTGTACTCTTTTCGGTATATTAGTTATACCAAACTATATGTAAAGGTGTTTGAAGCCGAAAAAGTTGAATTTGACATGAAAAGATGCTGCACTTGCTGATTTCATATATACTATTTCACAATTATCAATATTACCACGTATGTAGAATAGGCAAATAAACCGATACTCTCTCCCTGCACAGATTAATCGGTTTTGATTTTTTAATTCCTTGTTAAGTATTTGTTAGAGATTATGGCATTTGATCTCACTTAAAATTCAATTAACCCGTCGTATTTATATCACATCTGTTAATTGTTGAAATGGTGTGAAAAATGCGCCCGGCGTTAAGGATCTGTGTGTAAAAGACGTTAAATACCAGTTGTTGAGAGTGATTTTAACCAGTTTTATTCGGTTATTACCACAGGTCAGTTGATAATTTTGCTTTGTTTATTGCTGATTTTGTTGCTTCAATTGCTTCAATGGTTTGAAAGTTTTTGTGCATGTTGATTAATAATTCAATTGAGTTGACGGGCGTTTATACTAAATTGATTAAGATGCGATCAAAAGGTGTAAATTTTGTGAACTTTTTCATTACTTCATATTTATTTTGAATTTTATTTGTGTTAATTGCTTCAATGTGTTTGTGTATTATGGATTTTTATAAAATGGCAATCTGCTTACAAAGTAATAAAATCCAATAGCGTTTAATTACTATTGAATACTTTTTCTATTGACTAGTTGGTAACTGTAGACCGATTACACACAAGCTGGGGTTGTTGGAATTAGAACTTTCATAGATGATGTTAAGCGGTCTCTCTCAATTTATGCTAATTATGAAACAATAATAATATCGAACTGCAGCGGATCAAAGTGCTTGTATATATTTTCAAGAAATCAATTACTGCCTAAAGCAATGGTTCAATCCCCTAAGAAATTGTTCAGATCGGCTTGTATATATTTTCAAGAAATTTGGCATGAATTATTTCCGAAAGCAATGGGCAATCCCAAAATAAAGGGGTCAGATCGGATGAACTCTAGCATATATGTAGCTACTATACAAACTGAACGATCAAAATCAAGTACCTACATTAAAAACTTTTTCATATGAGAAAATATTTTCACGAAATTTTACACGAATTATTATTTCTTTTTTAATTCCCCTAATGTCCCTAAATTTTATTATTTCAAACTATTTTTCGAAACCAATGTAATAAGCTGTGTTAAAATTTATTTTTTCTTTATTACAGTTTCAAAACGTGGACTAATGAAAACAACCAGCAGGAAAGCTCAACGATTTTGAAAAAATCTGTTATTCCAAAGGAAAAGACAACAATATAACCAAAACGTCAAGATATAGTAAATAAACCACGCCATTTAATATATTCTACAACTCCGTCAGCAAATTTCAACTCACCAGATTTTTCGTTCGTTGCAACGTTCTAATTCTGTAATGTTAATTAATGCAAGTTCCAGTGAAGAAGCTGCTCGTTTTAGTAATACCAATTTAACAAATAAATTAATCCATAAAAATATATGTACCACAGCCAAAAATTCTGCAAGATCCAATCGCCTGTACAATACCAGTGTCAGCGAACACTACCGAATGGCGAATGAAATAAAAGAGACTGCTACTGTGGGGTGTCACGTCTATGATAATGGCGGCGCATTGGCACAAAGGTTGAGTGCAACGCTAGGTACTTGCTGGTGTCATCTGCGAAAGGACCAAGTAAAGTGCGTGAATTGTCAAAGAGCTGCAGCTGCCGCCGCGACTACGACAACAATGGCGACAATGACGACGATGACCACCAAAGTCGCGGCTGATAGCAACGAAAGCACTATTGCTGAAGGTGATATTAAAGATGATGATTGTTCTGATTCTAATTGTGATTCCGATTCTGATACGGCCGAGATAGGCAATGTTACGGTTAATGAAGGCGGCGATGCCAGATCGTCCATTGATTGTAAGACAGTTATGGAGAATGCATTTGTCGATAACGAAGTGACAACGGTTTTGAATGGTGCTAAATTTAGTCAAATAATGAATATATTTCAAAGTAATATTAATAATGCTGCTAGTAATTCTAATAAATGCAAAGAAGCGTCTGCAAATGCTTATGTTAATAAGAATTATGGGAAAACTGTTTATAATAAGAATAAACGTAATAGTAATAGTGATACAATAGTGTTTAGTGAACGTAGTCTAAAACTCGCAACTATAAATTTAAGCCAAAATAGTAGTAGTAGTAGTAATTTGATTGAATGCAGTAGTGAAGAAATCAAATCTAATGTGCATGGTACAAAAAGAAATTCAACGCATACTGACGAAGCAATACCTAGTAGTGAGTTTTGCGCACAAAGTGACACTTTTGCTTCAGCGCGTGCGCAACTGCTTGCCTTCTGGCTGACATTTGTTGCTTTTTGTGATGCGGTTACTATTAAACATGACGATCCGAGGCTCAAAGATGCACGGCGACGTCAAGAACGGGAGAAATCCAGCAAGGAGCAACAAAAGAAAACAACAGACGCCCAAACGCTGCCTGACAACGAGAATGATACTACTAAAGCAAAGCCGGCGCGACATTTAAAGTTGCTGACCAATCGCAAGCTAATACTTCTATTTGTTGTATGTGTGTTTTTCTCCTGCTTGAATCGCATTGAAGGCCGTCCGAATAGTTTGCCGCAACAAAATGTGATTACCGATGGTTCAGCCATCACTTTACCGACCCCAGCGGCTGTTGTCGCTGCTACAACCTCAAAGGCGGCCAGGCAGGACGAAGGCGGTGCAACAACTGCACGTTTATCGGTAAGTTTTCATATTTGACTAACCGTATTTGTATTAGATCAAGTCTTATATTCCTATTTCATCTGCGCATTTTCATGTTTCGAAGATTTCGATTTAATGATTGAATTTTTTAAAGACTAAACAGTTTGTTTGCTCTAAAGCAGCGCCAACTATGTGTCACATGTATGTGGATGTATGCATATTGTTTCGTAATGATAGAGTATCTTTTTTATAACCATATTCAAATGGAATTTCCTTTCATTGCTCTTATATTGCAACCTTGAACTTGAAAGTGTTTATTATGAACGAACGGGCAGCTAGCAAACAGAGCGACTATTATCTAGTTACACATATTTACTCATATGTATGTATGTGTACATAGCAGTGTCCGTCAGGCAAATGCAACTAAAACACACTTGACTGACTTTAATAGAAACTATTCTGTGTGCAAATAAACATCGAAATATATGTGTGTGTGTGTTTGCTTGTGGCTGCTGGTATGTAAACTGCAGATGCACTGAAGCAGTAAGCGACATCTTTAATATACATATATTTATGTAGATGTATATAACCATATAAGCAAAATATTTTCGTGTGGAAGTATGAGTAATATTGTCATTAGCACTTTTAGCTTTTATTGCCATTTACAGTGACATCCTTGTAATACGAATCCATGATTTGTTCTCTTCCTCTATAATTTGCTGATGATGAATATTCGCATATATGTACTTTTGTCTATGTGTGATGTGTCTATTATTATAAATGCCGGTTTTATGATAGACTTTCTCAGCTTTATTTAACTATTTCCTTAGCTTCTAGCGTTAACAAATTTTGTTGGTTTTTTATTAGTCAGGCGGAGATCGTGTTTTACATTTTACTGTTTCCAGAATTTATGTTTATAATTTTTATTGATTTGACAATTATGGCGTCAATAAACGTCACATACTCGTATAGTGAACGGAATATATCATTATCAAATTAGTGATGATGCTTATTATATACCTACTTAAAGAAGTAAGAAAGCGGTAATTTCGGGTGCCACCGAACATTTTATACTCTTGCAACTTGTAACAATCAAAACCAGGGAAATACCTTAAAATGAAAAACATAATATATATAACTCATACACTAACAGACATATTCGACATAATATTTATTGGAAAAACGAAAATCATGACATGTAGTAGATGGGAGTTGAATGATCCGACTTTTTCTATTTTTGCCAGCACTGTGTACTATTCAAATGACACATAATAATATAATGTTCCAGCGATTCATTAGTTACCTCACAAGCCATTACCAGTCATATGGACTAAAGTCAGCCGGATGTTCGAAAATCCTGATTTTAGTTATATGGGCCTAGGTCACGTTTCGTTTAATTTTATTCATTTTAGGCACAAAGATACATTGTTATGAGTGAGACACGCTCTCACATGTCAGTGATATATCTTACATATTGGCCGATATATGCGTTGTAAAGTCACCTAGAAGTTTAAAATTTTGTATAAGAGGGCTGCGGGAAGTATTGACTTGATTCAACTCATTTTTGATACACAGTGATATTATTGTCAGGAAAAGATTATCTTGAATTTTAATTGTATATCTCATACATCGACCGATATTTTCGGCCAAAATCAACTATAGGTACTAAGGTCCATATACTCGGTACCTAGGAGCTTGAAAAGTTTTGGTTGGATTTGGTAAATTTTTGGTAAATTTTTGGTCAAAAGTACTTTAAAGAAATTATTAGTACAATATTTTATCCCGTTGTATTAATTGCTCCTTAAATTGTTTACTGGAAATTAAAAATTTTGCTATATGGGAAGTAGACGTGGTTGCAGTCTGATTGCGACCATTTTCGCACTGCGACATAGGAATATGAGAAAACTGAACTAAATGCGTTGAAATCGGGTAGGCGGTTCAGAAGATACGGGTTTTTATCTAAAAGTGGGCGGTGCCTTGCCCATGGTCCAAATTTTTCCCGGCTCCCATAAAGCACTCTTATAGCATTTCGAGTGTAGAATTCGATGACTCTGGCGTATTTAGTCTTTGATTATCACACTTTTAGTAGTTTTTAACAGTACCATTAGATGGAGAGTGAACAGGTTTATTTATTTGGTTGTTGTAGCTTTAGTGGTCTAGGTGATATGTACCTTAAACTTGTTAGAGGGCGGGATCACGCTCACTTTTTACAAATTTTTAGGCAAATTTTGGTGCACTTTTCCACTACGATCCGCTGTGCCAAATAACAGTTTTATGTCTTAATTTAGGATTTAGTAGTTATGACCTTTTATAAGAGTTTGGTTGATGGCGTTTTGTGTGTTGTTACTTTCATCCTTACGTTTTTGCCAAGAAGCACGTCCACTAATTTTATCAAGATATTTTAATTTTTACTCAAGTTACAACTTGTATGACCGAACGGACGAACAGACAGACAGATAGTCACCCGGATTTCAACTTGCCTTGTCACTTTGCTCATTTTTATATACATATACGTATATCTCTATCTTTATATCGATTAGTTTTTTTATTATACTCAATAGCAACATGTTGCAAGAGTATAAAAAATACAGTTTAAGGAAACAAGCCTAGTATTGACACAGGAGGTAATGATAGGAATAAACCATAATTATTTATATAATAATAAATTTTTATACCCGAACCAGCTATATTTAGTTTGCTTCGATGTTGTAACACCAGCTACACTATAAAATATGTTTATAAATAATCAGCCTGTGGAGCAGTGTCGATTTAGCCTTGTCGTCGTGTCTGTCTGTATGTTCCCAAACCAGTCCCTCAGTGTTTGTATTAAAATTATATAGATCGTGCTACGTAAACATTGTAGTTGCCTATCAAAGTGTTCAATAAAAATCTTTTTGCAGATTCTTTTATACACTTGAATGCTATAAAAATGGACCCATGAAGGGTATTATATCTTTGGCGCAGCCAAAGTTACCGTCTTTCTTGTTTTACTTACACAAATGTCCTCATTGATCGTAGTTTTTACTTAGTAGTTTGTAGATTTTGTTACTTCCGCACAAATTAAATATACAATTGAAAAGAAAATGACTGACATCATTACATACATATGTACGTGTAAAGCATGCTCGACAAATGCCAATCGATTTAAATTAAACCTAGAAATTCAGCTTGACATTGTCAATGCCTTTTTTTGCATTTATATTATTGACTTGTCCGGGAAATTTTTTTGTGCTTTGATTATGAAATTTCGCTGACAATTGTCTGAAATTAGTAAAATTACTTTTCATTTCAACCTTTTACCTACCTATTTACCAAATAGAGACAGACTGCACGAATATATTGCACAATTCAATTGCTGCAGTATTGATGCATTGGGCACCTGTATATATTTCAGGTTTATGCCATTTACGCCTGTCTAGTTTTAATTAAGTAAGGAAGCGCTAAGTTCGCGCGAAATTCAACGTAGATACTCTGGTACAATATAAGATTAAGAATTCAAATAGTGGGTAGTCGAAAAAGTCTTTTCTTATTTTGTCAATAGATGTCGTAGCAGACGTATATCTCCAGTGCTACCAAAATCAATTATTGTATCATAACAAATAAAAAATAAAAAAAAATTTGAGGAAGTTGAAAAAAGACGATACTCCATCAGTTCGTGTAGCACAACAATGGTTCGCTTGCCTTCGTTCTGGAAATTTCGAATTACACTGATTGAATAATGTCTCCAGTCGAAAAATGGCAAGAAGTGGTGTACCAAAATGTTACTTATTTGTTTATTTATTAATTACTATAAATAAAAAATAAATAAAAAATAATTTGATTAGAAATACGAAAAAACTTTTTCGACTACCCAAAATAATATTATATTACAGTATGAGAGATATTAAAAATTTGAATATATTTTTTAACGCAGTTGCCATCGAAAACGATACAATGACTCACCATTTAGTGTTTATATGGACGGAATGTGATTTAGTGTAATTTAAAATTTTAGTTACAATTTTCAAATGTCTATCATGACTTTTGCAGGTTGAGTTTAACGAGGTAACTATCCAATATAAGTTAGTGCTAGTGACTCTCTCATCAAAACGAAACGATCAGTATGTCTGATGCCACCATGCCATCTGATGACGATCATTGTGTCTGATGCAAACGCGAATTGAACAATCTCACTTTGATCTGTGAAGTGTGCCAACATTCAAGACAATTAATTTTTCTATAAATATAATAAGCATTATATTTTTCAAACTATAATTATGCTGCAACTATTGACTAGACACGACACGTTTATAATTAATGCTCGTACATTAGTGAGTATGGTTGTTATTTAGTATTGTTCTAACGTGGACATAATTCTTCTCAATGCAAAATATGCACGCTAGTTTATTAAAAAGCCATATTGTTTGCACCAATGTACACGCGGCATTAATAGCCAAAGTAATATTTATTAAATATATTTTTTATGACGTTGCACAATGCAGTTCGAGTTGGTTAGATTTGGTTTTACAGCCAACTTCCAGTGTTAACTAGATTTTGGCGCAAATGAGGCCAATCGCTTGCAGCAGAATAAAGTTGGCAATGTGATATGGTGAGCTTGCATACAACCATAAATACATACATACCATATATATGCATATATGCATGTATGTACGTCTTGTCTGGGTCGACATGAAAATCTGTTTTTTCTTTAATTTTTATTCATTAAACTTTAAGATTTAACATTCAATCGTCGGTGCTGCGTCCAAAAGCGCATAAAATTCGGTTTCGCTTACCGTTTTGCTTCAGCATTTCTGTCCAGTTCAGTTTTATAGACAAAGAGGTAAACAAGCGCTTTATAAATAAGCGAGCTTTAAAGTAGTCTTAATGTTTCTTATGTGTAATTTTGTATATTTTTGTTTTTTATACCAAATCTATTTTTCAATGACATTTTTTCGACGCTTACATGTTTCAGAATACGCAAAAGAAATCTAAAAGCTTGTGAGCCTAATCTATAAATATGTGTATGTGTATTAACTTAATTAAAGAGCTATAAATAATTCGTGTCACTGAATCACAAATTTTATAGTGTCACCACGTAATTTGTGTTAGTGGCTAAAAAGCTTTGTGATATTTAAAAGTTCAGCTTTATCATAAATAAATCAGTAAAATGTAAAAATATGTGGAAAATCCCATTATCAATGTTTTTGACGGTCAACGCGTTTCTTGTTTATCAGCGCTACAAGTTTTTGGCGCTATCGATGGACTGAACTCATTCCAGTTAGATTTGAGTTGTTGTAATTAACAGTTAATGCCCTAAATGATTGATAGTGTGCTGAGGTTACATTGAATACTTTCATTACAAAATGTTTAATTGCCAAGTGCTTTACTGGGCGATATTTATCTACAGCTGTAAATACTGAAATTCTCTATATTTTAAATAATTTTGTAATATAAATCACATAAGGCATAAAAAAAACTGACTGCTTTTGTCCGGAATGTAATAGCACTGATTTTTCTACACCCCGACTGTACTTCGGAGCATGCGCGCACCGACTGGATTCGGTAGAAGGCGATCTTAGTTAACGAATGAGCAGCTGGTCAGTTGTCTCCGAGCATCTGGAGAGTCAGGACAAACATTTTCGCGCGACGTGTTTCTGTGAGTGGTGCATTCCAAAAATGCAGCGTTCGTTAGATCAGAGGTATGCGGTTAAATTCTTTGTGAAACTCGGTAAATCTGCGAGACGTTTGATATGATCAAGCAGGCTTACCCAGAGGTTGCTTTTTGTTTCCTTGCCTGAAAAGTCCGATGAAAGGCAAACATTTTGAGATGGGTATCCAAGCAGCATGCCTCTTTGCTCTCAAGGCTGTTCCGGAGAGTGCCTTGCGAGACGCTTTCAATATTTGGAAATCGCGCTGGTAGCGCTGCATCGGCGCAGAAGGAGCCTATTTCGAAAGAAATTGTAAAGAATGATTCAAAATTTTTTTTTAAATCGACTCAGTCATACTAATTTCCATACAAAGCCTGTATAAACTCGTCGGAACACATCTCTGATAGGCCAGAGTGAAGAATTATTGGAAGCAAGTAATCTTGGTGTGATGAAACACATTGATAAATACGAGCGTTCTGAGATCGTGAAGAGGAAGTGGAGGCGCTCAGCTAAATTTTTAAGGGCTAAGTTATATGGAAATATTATAGTTAATGAAAGGACCTATAAATTTTGTATATGCACAATTTTCACATAACCACAAAATGTATGTGAAAAATTCAAATAACCAAGTATTTTATTTATTTCTTGCACACAAATTTTACGAAATTTGGAATATGCTTCCTCTTCCTTTTTATGCCTCAATATAAAGTGTTTTATTTATTTTTTTTTTCAGGCCGGTGCTGGTGACAGTGATGGCAATAAAATTGCACTGCAAACAAACGCAATAGCACCAGAACCTACACCTAGTGAAAAGCCAAAGGAAGTCGATACACATAGACCACCGATAATGATTTCAGCACACGACGACGATGATCCATATGCGCACAGACCAGAGCGCTATCCGCTCTCGCAAGTTGATTTTGACAGAGTGAAAACGCCATTTATAATCGGTATTTGGATACTATCAGCGAGCATAGCGAAAATTGGTGAGTACTAAACACGTTTGGTGTTGGACTTAAGGTAGCATAGCATATATATACATATATATGTAACAAAATATGATTTATCACACACCATGTCAAAAACACCGGTTATATGTAACTGCATGTGTAAAAAAAAAAAAATCAATAAAAGGGATTTGCGGAAATTGTACAGTCATGTTATACTACAAGTGAAATCAATTATAAAAGCGATAATGAGTTCTTAGTAAATGTCGCTGATAATTATTTAATTGACTTAACGCAAGTAAAGTTGACCCATAATTGATGGTAATTTAGTATTGAAAACAACTCATAGTATGCTTTGTGTTTAGGTACCCATATATAGTACAGTATTATTGAAGAAAAACGGAAAACAGATTATAAATGATTGCGTTGTATAGTGCGTGATAAACACCCTCGTACGCCTAAATATATGCTAATATAATATCTCCCTCTAGTAATGTTAATAAATGCTTTGCGTGCTTAAGTATTGCAGTTTTTGCGTAAAGTTTATCATTAATGGAAATGAGCACCGCGACTCTTTGTGTCAATAATACGGTAAAGGTAACTAAGCGTACAATTAACACAGTTTGAGGATGGCCTATGTCACATGAAAGACTAAATTCAATCGATGAAAATTTTTCCCATCTTTGCATTTTCTCAAAAGACGAACATTCTTTTTTTTAAATAAAAAAATTACAAAAGTTTATAAACTGTTATTTTAGCTACCCGAAGTAATATCGGTTAAACTGGAACCAGTGTTGACGCATGAGCATTATAGATTTTTTGCCATTTGCACAGAGGGTATTTGTCAAATCGTTTGTCCTTGGCTTTCGCATTTCATTTCAAGGACATTCACGCCTCCAACACCATGCAGACAACACTGCACGCTACACTAAATAAAAAACACATAAATACACAACAACAAGTTTTGTCGGTTGCGTGTTCCAATTTGAAATGTGCTTGTGCACAATACCCAATAGTTGCATGTCTGTGTATAAATTTTTACACTTGGCAACCGCCAATATGTGCCAATACTTTGCTGCCTGGATATGTCGAGCAGTGCTTTGTGTGTTTACCTTTTGGCAACCGAATTCGCTACTCGGCCAATATACATATGTACTTATACATGTACTTATACATATGTATCATTATTATTTGCTTAATATTTGTTGTTTTGTAATCTTGAGCAAATTGAATGTATAGTAAATGGCTTTGTCAGGGATTTTACGGCCATACAATTTTGGATATAATTTTAGAACGATTTCCGTGGATTTGCATAAATGCAAACTTTAAGACTGTGTATTGCACAAATATTGTGAACAAATACTTAGAAATAAATTATTTAAAAAGAGTGGGTTTAAACAATATGTATGCAAAAATAAATTAGACAATAGGCGACCTTAGCTATTAAAATTTGCCCGCGAAATGATAATAATATTTTACATATTTGTAGTACAAGCAATTAGAAGGAAAATGAGATAATTTGAATATCATATATGTATATACGTATATAAAAATATTCTAAATATTTTGAAATTTACAAACAAAAAAAAAATATATATATATATTTAGCCGATAACTTTAAAAATTACGTGCTGAGAAAAATAGCAAGGCACAACATTCTCAAAGCCTCTATATTTGTTTTGTTCTCTATTTTAATATTTTGTTCACACATGCACAGGGTTTGTCCGGAAAGTAATAGAACTGAGTCCATTAAAAAAATTTATTGAACCAATCGTTAAAATTATTTAAAAACTTTCAAAATAGGCTCCTTCTGCATCTATGCAGCGCTGCCAGCGCGATTTCCAAGCAATGAGGGCGTTGGGGAAGGCATAGCCTTGAGAGCCTATATGCATGCTGCTTGGATCTCCTCTATCGCTTGTATTTTATCGGCCTTTTCAGGCAAAGAAACAAACAAAGTCCGGCGGGGCCACATCATACTCAAAGATCCATGACTCGCCCCGTTTGATTAAGTTATTCAAAAATTGGGGGTCACTTTCACACATGTTCAAATTTTAATAGAACACTTCCACTCGCCATAATTTCTGGTCTTCCGTCAGTGAGCACTTCGTTAGCTAGGAAATTCCTTTACCGTATCCAATCGGCGCGCGCACGCTTTGAAGTACGGCGGAAGAAAATCATTTCTATATCTTTCTAGATGAGCCCTTATTTCGCCTAATGGAAAAATCACTTGATTATACTGTCTCTAACCAGTAGATCGAGAGCGGAATCGTTCCATTCAGTCTTACTTCTGAGCTTAACCTTAAACTTCCTAGTGAAGTCAACCCTTTTGGCAATGCTATTCCTTGGGGGAAGAGCCAGTGGTATTTCGTCACTTAAGTCCTTAATGCGTTGGGAAGAGATTACGTTACCTCTGCCAAACCTTTCTGCTGTCATTTGAAGCAGWGTGTGCTTGGCAACTTGACCAAATACTAGGTGAAGCCGTATGAGTTTCAGCCAGAGCCAGAGTTGCGCCGAACACATGCGCATGGCACCCGACATGCAGACTCTGGCGAGTTGTTGCAGCTTCGTTCCGTCAGACGATCATTACGGATCTACCAACTAACCGATTGCACACAGCAGAGTGGAATCCAGCGTGAAACCAAGATAATTGACCACATTAGCCATCTCTGTCTCTACTGATGTTCAGTCCAATACCACAATATACAATAGATACAAATATACTAGAAATAGATTACAAAATTACTATTTATTTTTTCGCTACTAAATGATTCACTACAAATTTTTTGTGACCTCACATGGTTAACAACTTTCACGTGAGTTGTAAATCAGATTTAGTAAGATTGTTAGAAAAAAAACATAGTCTTTGCCGTAGACCTTTCGAGCATATCTACAACATTGACCTGATTATTAGGTAGGCTATCATTGGCCTGCATTTTCTTGATGAAAAATTGCCATTTCAGCAGATAACCGTATCTAAAACACTTCATACTACCTTCTGCCACTTGTAAGCTTACATACATATTTTCACCGTACAGTGGAAATTTCGACATTTCTCAAAGCAACTGCTCGTTTCATGCTTTACACAATTTGAACTAGTACTAAAGAAATGAATAGCGCGATAGTTTATGTATGTATAGTTTTAGAGAAATGTTTATTGATGCAGCCTTAATTACCTGCGTGAGATAAATTTTATAATTTTCAATTATCTCCTAGGGTGTTCAGGGAAACTTATACCTATGTATGTATGAGTATATACATACATATGTATGTAAGTATATCAAATATATAAAGACTCTTGCTTTTGTATAACATGAATTTTTAATACGAAATTCTATGTAATAAATTAAATATTTATTATTTTCTTTTGTTTTACACTAAAATATAACGATCCTTTAAGAATACGTATGAAATCCCATTTATACCTCTGGGTCTTAGTAAGAGCACACGCGCATTAAAGCCACTTAAGATACCAACTTGTGTGTCTGTTTTCCAGTCGTGGGTGAATTGAGATATTCCACAAATTGTCTTTGAACATACACACATTTACATACATACATGCATTTTTATTCCATGTGTGCAGATATTTCAAGTGGATTCGTAAACATATTCAACAACAATAAAAATCAATAAACCATAGCAAAGTGGTAACGTCGAAAGCACAATAAAAGCAAAAAAAAAAAAAAAATACTCAAATAAAATAACGTGCATATTATATACATTAGGTACATGCGTTTGTATATACACATATGCAGTTCATGTAAATATAAATAATACTATAAAGTCGATTCTAAATAGTATAAACACTTGTTTAGTTGGTTAAGGGAGGAAATGATAATAAACATAAAACTTGTACGTATATAAGTATATTAATGTATACAAATATATGTATAAATATATACAATTCTATAAATATATATACATATATTTTTTACATATAGCCTTATAATTTTTCATACAGCCACTTGCAAATGTTTGCTTTTGCCTCTTATTGTTTGTAAATAGTACTTAAACTCTCACTACTTTCATATGTATATAGAATTTATTCTTATTTAAGTAAATAACAATCACTTAGTTTTGCAGTCGCGCGATTCTCTACTACCCACTCAATAATACTGGTAATTTATATTATGGTATTTACCACTTCAACTGTCTCTATATGTGCACTCATGATTTTATTGTCTTAGAAATATATATTTTTTTACTTCGTTCCAGGTTTTCATATGACACCGAAATTGCACCTCATTTTCCCCGAGTCATGTTTGCTTATAGTTGTTGGTGTTATTATTGGTTTTGTATTGTATTTCTGCACGGATGTCGCCGTCTCCCCGCTTACACCCAACACATTCTTCTTCTATATGCTGCCGCCGATTATCCTTGACGCGGGCTACTTTATGCCAAATCGCTTATTCTTCGATAACCTGGGCACAATCTTATTGATGGCTGGAATTGGCACTGTTTTCAATACGGCAACAATTGGTAAGTGTAAACTCTAGATACTATATTTTATCAACTTTTTGAATAATTATGATAGCCCTCAGCTCCTTCTGCGAACCTGAAAACAGGTTCCACAGAGCTTCAATTTCAGTTTGGGGAACAAGAAAAAATCACATGACCATAAATCTGGTGAATTCTTCCACAATTCCGGCTATTTGCGCCGGATGTTCTTACCTAAACTCCTCAATACGGCCAAATAGAACAACTTACTGACCTCTGCCCCTCCGGAACAAATTTATGCTGCACCAAACCACGAATATCGAAGAAAACAATGAGCATCATCTTGATTTTGAGCTGTTTTGTCGTAGTTTTTTTGGTTTCGGTTCGTTTTTTTCCCTCCATTTCGATGATTTTTGCATGTCAAACTCATAAACCCATGTCTCATTGGCAGTTATAATGCTCTCCTTGAATGTGAATTCGCATGCTGTTTGCGGAAGTCTTTTTGAAAATTATTCAGCTTTATCGGAACGAGTTGAGCAAGAACGCGTTTCTTATTAAAAATATTCACCCAAATCATTCGAACGTACTTGCGAGAGATGTTGAGCTCTCTTGCCATCTCTCTAACTTGCCTAATGATTTTCAGGGACCCTATCCTTCACTTTTTAATATTTTCATCAGTTGAAGAGGTCGAAGGTGGTTCAGAAAGAGGCATGTCTTCAACGATATCTCGACCGTCTGTGAAGACTTTGTACCACTCGTCGGCTTGTGTTTTTGACAAAACCGTAAGCCCTTTCTAACATTCGCAACGATTCTGCAGACAAAATTTCAGAGTAATCAGGAACTTAGCAAAATACATTTTTTTTTAAATATAATTTACCCAGGGAATTTAAATACAATTTCCGGGTGCTTTTTTGTCTCAATGTATAGTTTCGGTGTAGCCGAATTTTAAATTATTAAATTCTTTCTTTTGAAGATATCCACATTAAAATAGTCAAGAAAGCATCTATAATCAATAATAGTTTTTTGATTGGTTTTGTTCAATTATTGACTTATGAGTTATGGAAAATTTACTGCTTCATCTTAATTGTGATCACTGTTGCTGCGTAAGCTTTATGCCATTTTTATTGTGTGGCGGCATCCATTCACTTCAATTCAATTAATTGCGGTACATGCCAACAAATTGCTTAATGCGATTGTGAAATATGAAGCGCCGTCGCCGTCGCCATCGCCGTACATGCGTCGCTGCCAGTCAGACGGTCCACAATACTTGTATTTATTTGTTTATTTGTTTTTTTTTTTTATTATGTCAGCGTATCCACATTATATATATGCAATATGAATGCACTTTGCCATTGCATTTATAGTTTTATTTGCCTTTCCCAAGCAAGCGCGTATGCTGAAAGTCTATTTGACATACACATGTATGTAGTTGGCCGATTGCAGCGTGTGTTTCTAGCTGGAAGCCATCAACTTCCCAGCCGAAGGGGCTTGGTTTGTTTGTTTGTTGATTTTTCATTTTGTTTATTATGTAATTTTTCGAAAGTCTCTTAAGAGCAAAGTAAGTAAGGAAATGGAACGTTATGATATAAATAGAAGCTTCATAATTTGTTATTTTTAGAACGAAATGACTTCTTCTTCTTGATTGGCGTAGWCACCGCTTACGCGATTATAGCCGAGTTAACAACAGCGCGCCAGTCGTTTCTTCTTTTCGCTACGTGGCGCCAAT